TGCACTGGAACATTGTCTCATCATCAGGATGCAGAGAAGCAATCCCTAGTGATCCATTGATATGAATGGTGATTCYTTCATCTTTCATCTTTCACCGAGCAAGGAATATTAAAATTGACAATTGCCTCAACAGGCTTATAAGTCAGGCTCTCCTACTGTCTTCACTCCCTTGTAGTGTAATTTGAATCCTTTCTTCTGTACGGAGCTGTCAGATTTAAATACTACAACTGCTACTCTTCCCCTGACTTGGATTTGGGTTGGTGAAGGATGATTACCGCAGAGACGACAGCCAACTCGGTTTCCTAACTCATCAAGTATTGCAACGTAGTCACTTCTAAACGCAAGCAACAAAAAAAAAAAATCGTTAGGAAAAGTTTTTTTATTAAACGGAATTCAAAAATAAGGGTTGTGTCTTCTAAGCGCAACATGTTTATGGTATACGAATATAGTACAATTTGGCCGTGGTAGAAGTGAGATTCTAGCTTATCCTACACATTTTCAGAATCGTTTAAAAAACATGAAAAGGGAAGCTTTTAAAAGTGAAACTGCAGCATCAGTGAGTTTCTATTAGTCAGCAGGTCAGTTTTGTATTGTCAGGACAACTACTGACTGAAGGTAGAAGCCAAAACGCCCTGGGAACGATATTGTAACAGTATTATCGAGAGAATCAAGGTAAAAGATCTAGACTTTGAACTTACCCACAGTCGTCGTCGCGTTCAAGATAAAGGTGATTAAATGTGATATCGATGGCAGCGTAGTCCTGGGGAAGACTGATGGTCCATTTACAATGAGAGTTTGCAGGATATGCACTTGGGAAATTCGGTGATTGGAATGTACCGACAGGATCATTCAGAACACCTCCACAAACTGGGAAGAAAAGATAATGAAGTCATTTAGATAAATAATTAAAATATATACAAAGTAATTTAGGAAAGAAAACACGCCTTTCAAAAAACAACTACAGCCATATCGACTCGGAACACGAAAATATTGAAAGTATTTGTCAAACTTACCCACAGTGCTCTGCGTTGTAGGCTTGGTTACTGATTTTTTTTGAAATGTGGTACTACTGGTTGTTGTTGTCACGTGATCTACAGATGTTGCTTGAGCTGTGGTTTGTTTTGCAGGGGACGAAGTGCTTGTTTCCATAGCGACTTCAGTGTTTTTGATTGGGATTGCTGTGGTGATGGCGTCACGACCCCTTGTCGTTTTGATGTTTCCTTTGGATGTTACGAGCGTCCTGGTTGTTGTGCCAGCTGTAGTTGGGTTTAGGGAGGAAATAGTGCTTGTTTCCATGGGAACTTTAGTTCCTTTGATTGTCGTTGATGTTGTAATGGCACCTGTGTTTGCCGTTGTCTTAGTTGGTGCTGTGAGTTGAAGAAATTGGGAATTTAATTCATGGTAACTAAAGATTCACTGCAAACAAGTAAGCAGGAAGGCAGGCATGGGGGAGGGGAGGGGGGGGGGGAGGGACGAAAACAACTGTTGATGATTTGGCATGGGCATGTAGTCTTATGTTAAATTCATTCAAGATGGCGACTATGACAACAGGTGCAAACCAAGAAGAACATGGCAGGGCCGTAACTCGGGGGGGGGGGAGCACAGGGTGCATGTGCACCCCCCCCCCATACTATAAAAGCTAAAGGTCCGCTCATCCATCTCCTTGCCATACGGCCCTGCATGGCATAGAATTATTCAAACAAATAAAAATACAAGCAAACAAATTTAAAGTATTTATCAGCTTCTTACTTGTTTGTGTTAGTTCCTTTCGGCACTTGACATTCTTCACGACAATGATATGTCTATCCAGTCGTCCATTTCCCTTTTTAGTCACATCACACTTAAAGGTATCTTCACTTTCATCTCTTCCTCGTGGCAGCAACAAAGACCCGTTAAGTGTACTATGGAGCTTGAACTCACTGTTAACCCGCGAATTTGATTCATTATTAGAAGCAACGAGTAACAACCACGTTGCATCTTCTGAGACCTTCGACGTCTTCTTGTGCCATTTCACTTTATCCAGCTTTCTCGGGTTTGTTCTGTGCATCGCGTCGCACTCCAGGACAACATCTTCTTCTATACAGACTTCACGTTCAATTTTCGTCACTTTACCTATAAGTTCGGAAACCAATTTTTTGTTAACAAACAATAAAATAATGCAATTTCTATTTCTTTTTGAGTCTCCTTTTTCTTACTTACCACAAGCAACACTAAGCTTGATAACGTGCAGTTTCCTTGGTCCTTGTTTCACTATACACTGGTACAACGTCTCATCATCAGGGTTTAGTGATGATATCTCTAGTGATCCATTAGGATGGATTGCTAGTCTACCATCTAATGCCGTGTTAACGGAGCTCAGTTTCGAGCTGCCATGCCTAATACTTGCTATATCAATCCATTGGCTTCTGTTTTTGTCCTGGTATCGCCAAGTTAATTTGCCATGGTTATTTCGTACAAAATGTGGACAATCTAGGATTACATCTGTGTTGTGACATTCTTTTTGATCKTGTGTTGTTGCGCTCAAAGAACCTGCAATGATGAATAAACGGAAATATTAGGAAAAACAAAGGACCCGCTCCCCATAACAAGGGCCTTACTAAGTTAAAATACAAACCACTGTTTGGCAAATGGAGATACCAGACTGAGACTGGTTTAGGTCATAATGAAGTAGTTGATAARGTACAAATCCGTACAAAAATACAAAATTATAGATTGTAGCTTCTTCTCTAGTTATATTTTTGGAAGCACACSCAGCCCTTCAACCACAACGGAAGTGATTTACGAGCTGATAATWAGAAGATCAAGGTTGCGTGACCGCTATTTATCACTACAGAGACGTGCAGAAAGACTGACCACGGCAACTGAAACAATTCACTCRTGAAGCTGCTACGACTGTAGCGGTTTGACAACACGTGTTTTTGCGATGTTTTTTAGGATATTAATCATTTAAATCAAGTCCTATCTACAGAATTACACTGATATATCCAAAAGGTCTTGTTTACTTCAGGATTGMAAACTGAAACAAAGGATTTAATTTGGCAAAAACAATTGCGCAAAAGCTATCGCTCTACAGAATATTTTATTTCTAGCCTGCTGCGAAAAACAGCCTGACTGTGAAATACCGATAGTGAGGTAAGTACATAGAGATACATTTAGTCTTTTTGTAGCTAGATCATAGTAAAACTAGAGTTATCTTACCTTTGATAACGAATAAATATAAAAGCGTCGGTAATACTATACGAAGGCCACTGGCTCCAAGCATATTAAGGTCACAAACAAAACTCTTTAAACAACTATGAAAAATTCTTTACAAAARTTTTTCCAAGCTTAGAAGATTTTTCTAAGATGTAGTAATCTTTTTGGTTTTCGCCCGAAGATTTGAACTCGGTTTCTAAGGTTTGTGGAATCTTTTGCTTAACGAAATTGAAAGTCGATTTTGGTTTAGACAAGTTTTCGAAGGTACGAATTCAAATGTATGTCTGTCAGGTCTGGGTCATTGGACTAAGTTTATACTCGTCTGAAAAGCGAAAATAGCTGATTAGATAACAGTCAGGTGATGGGGTGTAACGCAAGGGTAACCCCCCTTCTACGAAAATCTGTAGTTCCGTCATGCTAAACACGAGGAAGTTTAAAATATGGGTGTGGTATGACGACATGTGATTGGACCACTTCTATATAAGGAATGCGCACTTTAATGGATTCCTTGGGTTGAGTAACTGTGTTACGTGACCGCGGGAATCAGGTTTCTATTTTCAACGAAAACGAATGACTTTATGGATAAAAATTGTGTGCTCGTTTGGAAGATTTATCTTTTGGGAGATTTATCTTTTGAATAAATTTTCTGAGGATGAATGCGCATCTCAGCAYGTTATCGTCGTTACAGTTCATCATCTTTCTCTGAAGACAAAATAATCCCAGTCACATTTRCATTTCGAGTGCTTATCTGACTACATGTGGTCGCCGTAAAAAAGGGGAGGGCAAAAAATTAGACAGGAATGACCAAAATAATTTTCCAGCATGATACCTTGCGACTGCCTTATGACCACAATCATTATTCTCCACATTAACAACACATATACTTTCATATACTTTATTATTATATATTCAATTAGCTTTTAGTACTTTGTAGTTAGACTGATCAATTAAGACTAGAGGTTAAGCAACAGGAAACTCAGGTATGTTTTCAAAACAACGTTTCGTAAAAGCCGTTTCCGGTGTGTTGGTTCATTTGTGGTGTCGTTTGAAAGAGGAAAGGAAATGATGGGACTGCTTTTTCTATAATAGGAGAGACTTTAGGAAATGCTTTATCGGACACTTACTATTCCATAGCTTGATGAGAGCACTCGATTGATTACACGGCAAAAAAAGGTTGCGTTATCCACTCATTTTGCAAAAATTAAGGAAAACTAGAGTAAACGTAATAAATATTTTGCATGTAATTGGAAAAGAATCAATTAAGAATATATGATGCATATGCAAAATGTAGCCGAAGAATCGAGTTCACGTTAATCATAAAAGTACTTATATGCTTTTAAATTGATTGACACTGCGATATCAATTGCTCCGAAATGAAGATCTATATGTCATAAATAATTTATCCAACAGACTCTCTTTATATATGCCTTCTGCCGGAGAATTAAAACATAAAAATCACAGAGCACACACGATACAACCATGAAAAAGTACTGAAAAATAGTACGATATCATGTTGGCAAAATCTTTTGGTTAATTCATTGTATGTTTTAAATTTAAGTACAGCAAGGAGTTACCACTTTTATATGATAGTTTATAATTCCTTTTCAACATAGTGCTTTATCGTACYGAAACTGACTGATGTCTGGGTTAAACGGAAGCAGTTTTTAGTTTGATCAAGAGTAAAATATCCCCTACAAAACGTATCTTTTTGGCTTGCATTTCTTTGGAAGTTTGCCAGTTAACAACGATTAGAACCGCCGCACATTTGCGCTAAGACTTGAGGATTTTTTGTCTCTGACTCTGCGTTGTATGATTGCTGTTATATATGTTATAAGATGGCTTTTTATTCTTAGCAGTTTAGGATTATGACATTAGACGGGTGCGGACATGTACAAAGGTACGTGGGTATGGTTGAGCGCAGTTTTCTTCAAAAGAACGATGTGCAGCTTAGCCCAGACGCTGTTAACTCTTGAGCACAGATAATTTTTTTTCTAAAGAAATTTCTCTTGTTTAATTTTCCTTAGTTGAACGATAGCCAAGATCATAGGTAGTACTTTTAGATACACCACATCAGCTGGAATAGGATTTCGTATGAGCAAATGCTCTCACTACAGTACACAGCTGTAACCCTCGAATGGGTTTCGCTCTAAGCCAATCACAATCTAGCATAAAAATGATCGCAAAACGGACAGTGGGCGGAGCTGAAATGTATACATTTCCCACACAGATGAAAGGCGCTCTAACGAGCTGGGCACATGCAGTTTCAATGCGGTTATAAATACTCGATACCGACTGTGTACGCCAGAAACCGGCTAAAACGTTTTYCCCGTTATATTAAAATACTACAAGAAAAACCGAAGAATATGAAAGAACGGAGAAGAAAAAATGAAAAGAAAAACTAAAAATATATGAAGGAATATAAATAAATAWATAAGATAAATCAATAGGAAGAAAAGAAAAAAAAGTGAAAGTGAAAACGTATCAATATTATATATTGGGTATCCTGTGGTAACTAGGTAGCAGTCTTCTCAACCGTGCAAGAATCCAACATGGCAGAAGAAAATTTGAGTGACGAGAAATATTTTATCTCTTCGTGGCCTCCGGAGAGTGCGGTGAATTCTAAAGGCTCGCCTTGCAAAAGAACTAAATATGACCAAGATAAAGACACCGTATTATCGAAACATGTTTACATTGAAAATTCGTCTAAAAATAGTCGWCAAGTCGACACCGGAGATAGAGAGTCTGAGGGTAAATTAGTGAGAAAAGCAGATAAATGCGATACTATACTTAATTTAAACAAAACAAATGACAGTAAAGACTGCTTGTCWTGGGCTTTGCCTGCTCTTGCCAAATGGTGGAAGGAAAAACAAAAATCATTAGMAATTTCATGCGAGTGGAAAATCCCTGATTCAAATAATCCGAAGACGATTCTGCATCACGTCTCGAGGTATTTTATACACAATAATTAGTGCCATTTTTATACATGAATCTCATTTCTAAATAAAATGCTCATTTGTATTGAAGTAATCATTTAAAGATATTGATAAATAATTCAAAAAGGTATTTCTGAATGCACCATTTGTATCAATTGATGAGAAAAACAGCACTTGAGAATGTTTTCATGCAGAAAAATGATTTTACTTTTTCGTGACGTTTGCTTCAAGGAACAGGAAGCTTCTTTTTTTCATTTCGTTGAACGCATTCCAAAGGATTTATCCAAACCATGTGGTTTCGGGCTTGAACTTTGCCATTAAGAAGTTGGTGTGGTTTTAAGAAGTGTCTGTAGCCGACTGTGGGCGACAATAACCATCTGGATTTTGGCCATTGGATATTCATAAACTATAGTTAAGCTTAACCAAATAAATTCATCATATAGGCACACGAACTAAAGAATTGGCCAAACCTTTGAAGCCCAGTTTCGTCACCTTGGTTCAAATCCGTAATTTGCTGTGAGTTTAAGCTTATATTTTTCGACAGCTTTTATACTCTGTACAATATTAATATTTTATTCAATTGTTTRATATATGGTATTGTTTTTCTTAGTCGGGTGAGATATTTTAGCTGTTTGAAATTTATAAAATCGTATTCATAATCATGATCAATATGTTGTCTTTAAATTACTAAATCYTTGCTTGTGTAAATATTCTATTTACATAGATGACTATCCTTTCATCTTGATAAATTCTGGATTGAAWTGATCCTCTCATTTGAATTATAAATTAAAAATGAACATTAAGAACACAGAATTCTAATAACAACACTTGTAACTAATTAAGTCTTGGGAACCAAATGACGAGAAGTGATAATGGACTTCCTATTTGCTTTACTGTCGCAATCTCAAGCCTTATTGCTTACAGTAATTATTGTTCTCTTAGACTTCCAGAGGCAAAGCAGTTCATGATGGCTCAAGTTAAACAGCTTCAAAAACAGGTTTCTTCTAAGCCTGGTTGTGTAGGAATCCATGTTACTCTAGCTTCATATTATACTAAAATCAGAGACTTGACTAAAGCTGAGGAAGCTCTTGACAATGCTCACAAGCTAGACCCAGAGAATAAAGAAATTCTTTGGATGCAAGCAAAGGTTAGACGGGATAAAGATCTGCAAGAACAAACCCAAAAATACAAGGAACTAATGCCTCCACCAAAATCCAAGGATCTCAAGATGAAAGAGCCATTGAAGGTAATGACAAAGTGAAGCTTTTCTATTTAAGATTTCAAGATTTTTGATGCTGTAGGACAGTATACACTTATCATGAATTCTTTGCTCTAAATTAAASTTATCTCTATTCAAATGTTTCCCCCCTTGGTACGTACAGCACAAATTGAAAGTCTTAATTTTTGTTATAAATCTCTTTAGTTATGGTTTAATTTATTTTTGGAATTCAAGCTGTGATGTACAATTGTATTTATAATGTGTATTACTTAATTTTTTCCCAAACATTTCAATCGTAAGACATATTCTATGTTGGTGAATAATTGATGAGAGATCAGGCTATGACTACACATTTCATTTCTCCTATGCTTTAAATTAATAATAGTTACATTTATAGTAGCAAAAGCATTGACATTTTCTTTATTCTGCCAAAACAATATTTTCAAGAGCAAGGTAAAATGGTAGTAAGATTTGTCTATAGCCATATGACACAATGCCTTTCTAGTAGCACTATTCTTTGGAAACCTTTTTAGAATTAATTAAAAAAAAAAATCATGTTAGTTTTCAATATTTTTGTATGATATTTTCAAATTGTTCAGATGGGAATCACATTGTTTAAAACTAAAAATGCCTCTATAAAAGAGTCTACTCACTGATATTGAGCTTAATGTTGTTTATGTTCTAAATTTAGTTTATATATATTGGTTTACCTATGGAAGTAAATTTGTTTTAGTTAAATCCCTAAAGTGCCTCATGGAATAATACTTGTGGCATCACTATAGATTTAAAACAAAGTTTTTTTAGGATATTGTTATGATATTGTTCGGTGTTCATGTTGAAAAATTATTGTGATCATGCTTAAGTTAATATTGTTAAAAGGGGATAATTAATTAAGAAAAAAAAAACGTGTGAATGTCTCGTTAC